AAGCAACTTCATACGCCATTCGATAGAGCGGGTGATTATAATCCTTAAATTAAGGGCGAAGAAGGCCGGTTGTGCCCTGCTCGGTTTCTCCGTTACGTATCTGTAGCGACCAAATTATCTCGTACTCCACGGATAACAATGCCCATTGTCATGTTAGAGAAGCAATGTTCGCCCATGATTATTGGGCCGTGGATTTACGAAACTCGATACGCAGCTCTAAACTGGGCCGGAATCATAGTCCAAAGCTGTCTTGCAATAAGACGAGCATGGGCTTGCAAAGCACGAATTGGGCCTAGCATCATAGCCCATTGACCGAACCGTGTTTCCCCTGCTAATGGATCGTTCGACGAGATCCGTATCTGGGTCGGGTATCTCGTTCGTAACGAGGGGGATACTTGGACTCCGAGTAAGGGCTTATCGGACTCATCGACCGATGGTCCTTGAAACCTTGAATGTACAAAGCCCAATGGCCTTCATTTCCATTTTGTAACCACATCTAATTTGGAAAATGAATCCTCTGCAGGCCGACGAAGAAACCTTAAGCAGTACGTAAACTCCGGTTCCCTTCTTCCTTCCTATTTCCTCAATGTCAAGACGACAAATGGACCAATACGGTTTCGGTTAAAACCATATAGCCTGACAAACCCTAACGTCGGTATTATCTTGAATGTCCTGTGCAACCCCGGAAATGTCATTTGGCATCCGACTTCTTTTCCTCTTCTCTTTTGCTCCAGTACGTCGTTTGATTTACAAAATTTCGCCTTTTGCAGGTGGCAATCGAGTGGAAACAAAAGGAGTTCTATTAAGTTTACTCTCGGCATGGAAAAACATTTACGCATTTACCACTGCAGGATCGATATGCGAAAGAATACGAACACGTAAGTTATCCGATTAACGATCATGTAAAACCGTTTTTTTTTTACATCGACAGTGGACTAAAAACAGAGACTCTCTCTCCTGCAGAGCCCTACTTTCCGTAGGCCCAAGACGCAGAAGCCCAGCCCGAAAGCATCGGTCCACTCCATTTGACCACATCCAGGCTTGTGATTTGGGAAGACGAATCAAACCATTTTGCTCCAGCCTTGGACCAAATAACTAATCATTCTTTTATTATTTGCTACCAAGCCTTGTTAGGTCATCCAATGGCAATTTGCGTTTCACTATCGAAATATCCCAAACAAATTTGAGCTACTCTTCCAAACGCTACTCAAACCTCCGCCAAGACTCGAGTTAATTCTATTTCCATCTCTATCCACCTATTGACTTCAAGATTTACCGATACCAATTTTATAACTTACCCCCACCCTTTACACCCTCCACAAAAATTACAGGTTAACCCTAATCGACAAAACCAGCTTTCTTCGTTGATGAACTCAATATCAATTTTACAACTTTTCGCCTACTTTGACTTCAAACTTTTCCGTAATCCTTATTTAATAAGGACTAATTAGAATCATTTGTTTCTTCGCATGAGGCAACGTGATGATCTACAGTTGTACTGTTTTTATCATTTTGCATATACGTAGTTAGAGAGAATATTAACGAAACAATTGGGTCTAACCGGGTAAATTTTTTCTCGATGTAATGGAAATTTACATATGGTTGGATTTGAAATTTGTTCTTGTTCTTTTATTTCTCCATCTATCTTGGGGAGATACATATTTGCCGATTACATACATCGCATTTAGGAATGGACGTGGGACCCAATTCCGTTGGAAGAAATCTTAATTATCCCTCAACAAACCAGTTCCGAGTCCGTTATAGAATTTGACGTAAAATCTCAAACTTGGCTTCCTGCAGGCGCGTGAATTATGTATTCTACACGGCGACGCACATGATAGTTTTATGTGCCAATGATCGAGAATAATCGACGCACATGACAATTCTATGCGCCGATGATCGAGAATCAGTTGAGACATCCTCAATGGGAGCATCACATGGTCTTGATGGTCTCTGTAAGGGCCGACCTCTAACCCCACTTGTCAATGATATTGTCCATTTTGGACCGCAGCCCGCACGGTTTTGTTCCTCTGAACTTCACCCAGAAAATGCCTCGTTGGTAGTTAAGACCGGTACTACACTGTCCCCAGGTGATGTGGAATTCGGTGCATTCATGCCCCCCTTCGCCATCCTTGAGGCGAAGTCGTACTCCCATCCCTCGTGGGACCGGGTTGTTACAGTCTCTATCTCCTATAAAGATCGATATTCGATCAATTACAGCATACTCATGAGGTGTATACGAGCAACTTTATACGGCATTCAATAGAGCGGGAATTATAATCTTTAAACTAAGGGCGAATAAGGCCGGTTGTGTCACGCTCGGTTTCTCCATTACGTATTGTAGCGAACAAATTATCTTGTACTCCATGGATAACAATGCCCATTTTCATGTTAGAGAAGCAACGTTCACCCATGATTATTGGGCTGTGGATTTACAAAACCCGACACGCAGCTTCGAATTGGGCCGGAATGATAGTCCATAGCTATCTTGCAATAAGATGAGCCTAGGCTTGCAAAGCACGAATTGGGCACACCGTCATAGCCCATCGACCGAACCTTGTGTCCCCTACTAAATGGATTGTTCAACGAGACTCGTATCTGGGTCGGGTTTCTCGATCGTAACGAGAAGGATACCTAGGCTCCGAGTAAGGTTTCATCGGACTCATCGATTAATGGTCCTTGAAACCTTAAGATGTACAACATTTCTATTCTGTGACCACATGTAACTTAGAAAATGAATCATGTGTAGGTCGACGAAGAAACCTTAAGGCTGCGTTTGGTAGTCTAGATTTTTAGCTAGGATAGGACTGGATAGGATATGATATGAAATCCAAAGGATTTGCTATATCCTATTTACTGTTTGATAAATCGCAGTAATAAAGCCGGATATTTTCACACCTTATTATGTCCATTATTTGTTACAAACGTTATATCAATGTAAATGATCCTAAAAATTGCATAGACGGAGATGATAAAAATCTCTCACGATATTATTACCTACTTCGTTTTATTTGCTTAATTTTTTATTATTTTCCCTCTTTTCTAATTATTTTCTTTTTTTATTTCTTTTTTCCACTTCCATCATCTCTAATAAAATTTTATTCAATAGTAAACTATACTAATATACCTAAAATAGGTAATAAATATAAATATAAATGTATTTATTTACATATATGAAATTTTTATCATAAGATATGCACAAATTTGAATATACTAATAAAAATAAGAATAAATAAAATTAAAAATATTGTTATTTTTTTGTTATTTCGAATTTTTTATATTAAAATTCAAATATTATTTCAATTTTATTAATCTAACAAGTTTGTTATTCTAGAAAAATAACTTTTATATTATGCATGTTAGAAATCCTATCCACCCTTATCCCACCTCTCCAATGGGATAATTTTATCCGGGTTATTTCCCTCTTATATCCGACTGTATCCTATCTTGGGCGGGTACTAAATACGAGATAGGATAAAAATTATCCTATAATGAATTTTATCCCGACTACCAAACGTAGCTTAAGTAGTACGTAAACTCCAGTTCCCTTCTTCCTTCTTCCTTCTTTTTTGCTCAATGTCAAGACGACAAACGGACCAATACGGTTTTGGTTAAAACTCTATTGCCTGACAAACCCTAATGTCGGTATTATCTTGAATGTCCTGTGCAACCCCGGAAATGTCATTTGGCATCCGACTTCTTTTCCTCTCCTCTTTTGCTCCAGTACGTCGTTTGATTTACAAAATTTCGCCTTTTGCAAAAGTGGCAATCGAGTGGAAACAAAAGGAGTTCTATTAAGTTTACCCTCGGCATGGAAAAACATTTGCGCATTTACCACTGGAGGGTCGATATGCGAGAGAATACGAAACACGTAAGTTATCCGATTAACGATCCTGTAAAACCGTTTTTTTTTTTACATCGACAGTGGACTAAAAAAGAGATTCTCTCTCCTACAGAGCCCTACTTTCCATAGGCCCAAGACGCAAAAGCCCAGCCCGAAAGCATCGGTCCACTCCATTTGACCGCATCCAGGCTTGTGATTTGGGAAGACGAATCAAACCACTTTCCTCCAGCCTTAGACTAGTAAGTAGCTAATCATTCTTTTATTATTTGCTACCAAGCTTTGTTAGGTCATACAATGGCAATTTGCGTTCACTATCAAAATATCCCACATAAATTTGAGCTAGTCTTTCAAACACTACTCAAACCTCGGCCAAGACTCGAGTTAATTCTAGTTCCATCTTTATTCACCTATCGACTTCAAAATCTTACCGTACCAATTTTACAACTTACCCCCGCCCTCTGAATCCTCCACAAAAATCACAGGTCAACCCTAATCGCCGAAACCAGCTTTCTTCGTTGATGAACTCAACATCAAATACCACGAAACTTCTCGCCTACTTTGGGTTTGAGCTCAATCACGATCGCCGGTCTATGTATTTTCTCATTTCTTCTCATTTCTCGTCAGAACAACTTTGGTCATGAAAAAACGGTACAGCACAAAGCGATAATCTAATCATAGATGCTTAAAGTAAGAATCATAAACAAGGAATTCAAAGAGGTCGTTCGGTGCGCACCTTCCGTCTCCCACGCCCCCTCTCCACAGCATCCCTTTAACACACGTTTTTTATCTTTGACTAAATCACCAGACTGCCACCTCCACCACCGCAGCCCCTCTTCGCCAATCTTCCTACCTTTTCTCTCCCCATTTTCATTTCTTTCGTTATCGCAATCTCGCAAGCGGAACGCAGACTGGCAAAGAGACCGACGCTAAACGAAGAGCCCCGACCGGGCTGCCCTAAAATTCACGAGAGGTGGGCAGGGGGCGACGCCGACCGCCTGCAGCCGGTAAACCGCCAGGGACCGCGACCGGCGAAAGGCGGTCCTCCCCCCTCCAGAAAATGGCTATCTCCACTCCCCTCCTCCATCTCAAAAACACGTAACAACTCTTAACATTGTTTTTCTCCGAGAGAGAGAGAGAGAGAGAGAGAGAGAGGAAGAAAATTAAAAACAGCGATTTTTAATTATCCTATTCCCTCCCTCTTTTGTGTCTCTTTCTTTCTCTTTCTCTCTCTCTTTCCCCGTTAGGTTCTTCACATATCTTGGCGAACAGCGTCGTTCATCATCTTCACACGAAACTCTCCATCTCTCTCTCTCTGCTCTGCAGCAATCTCCTCTTCCCTTCGTCCTTCTTTCTGGTTTCGCTGCGCTTTCTGCAGAAGCAAAGCGGACAAAGTCGTGGTCTTCTCCTTCTTCCTCCTCCTCCTCCTCCTCCTCTTCTTCTGCTTCTGCTTCTTCCGGCGAGTGCTCGTTCCGCCGCTCCACGATCCTCCCGGCTCGTTTCGCGATAGCTTCCTGTTTTTCGACATTCTCTCTCTGCTCTGCGCGTTCGTCTCTCTCTCTCTCTCTGTCTACGTGCTTTGTCGTTCGTTGCCTTTGTCTTCAAGCAATGTGAGAACCGCTCATCGGCGTTGAGTTTCTGGACGCGCCTGGAGGATTGCTTGTGCTGGGGAGGCGATCGGAGCTGGCGGCTCCAGGTTCAATTTCCCGGCGTGTCGTTTTTTTGCTTTCTCGGCTTCTTAAAAAATCCGCGCGGTTAGATCTGCTTCGGCGCGCGCGCTGGTTCTGGTTTTTGATGGTGAGGTCGTTTGATTGCGGGATTTCGGATTTGATTGTAGCGGCGAGCGTGATGCGGCGTTGAGATAGTGGAAGCGAAGAGGGCTTAGCTTGTTTTTTTTCACCTCCGGTGGTGAACATGAAGAGGTCTAGGGATGATGTTTACATGGGCTCTCAACTGAAGAGGCCTGTGGTCTCTTCTCGCGGAGAGAAGTAAGTTTCATCTCTCCCTATCTCTGTATGTTTTGGGTTTTGTCGTGTGGATCGACTTGTTTGTCGAGGATTTGATTGCACGAGCTCAACAAGACTTGCCTCGTTGAGGATGAGATTTGGTCCTTCTGATCAGGGCATTGTTAGTGCATCCGTCTTCTATATGCTCGTGTTTCCGCTTCCGCTTGATTAAAATTGGATTTTTTTGGATGAAGTTCCAGCGAATTTCTTGCTCACGACCTGCTGGAACAAGATCAGATTTTTGTCAGCATCGGATTGCTTAGATATCTAGCATGTTCTGTCTCTTCTTATAGGTCCTATGCTCACTGAAAGTCTAAAGTAGAAGCTATTCTTGCACGGATGGACTTTTGCATGATTGTTGGTTGAGGATTTATTTCAGGAGAGCTCACGTTTACATCTGTACAGAAAGATGTGGCCGGGGTGTTGATATGAGGGCAGGGTTTGTAAATCTCTAAAGTACTGATTTCCTTTCTTTTTATGTGAAGCTCTGGGCAAGCCCAGGTCATGGGAAGTGGAAGTGCACAAAAGCTGACTACAAATGATGCCTTGGCATACCTTAAAGCAGTGAAAGACATTTTTGAGCACAATAGAGAGAAGTACGATGACTTCCTTGAAGTTATGAAAGATTTTAAGGCTCAGAGGTAAGATAGTGCGACGATGTTTTCTTTATTCTGGGCCTGCGAGCATGATCTGAATAACTTTCTGAACAAATAGTTGATTGTGCTGACAGAATCGACACTGTGGGTGTCATAGCAAGGGTCAAAGAGTTATTTAAGGGATATAGGCAACTGATTTTAGGTTTCAATACTTTCCTGCCTAAGGGATTTGAGATAACTCTTCCTCCTGAAGATGAGCAAGAGCAAGAGCAACCACCTCCACAAAAGAAGCCTGTTGAATTTGAAGAAGCTATTAACTTTGTGAACAAGATTAAGGTAGAGATGGATGTCGCTATCAAACGCGATGCACTGATGCTTTTGAGGTCTAACAACATGCATTTTGTTTGTAGACAAGGTTTCAAGGGGACGATCGTGTTTACAAGTCGTTTTTAGACATTTTGAATATGTATAGAAAGGAAAATAAGTCCATTACTGAGGTCTATCAGGAGGTAAGGCAGATGCACTCTCAACCTCACTTATTACTATAGTTTCAGATTAATTCTTTGTTCTCAGTTTGCAAGCAAATCGCATCTGTCAATGAAAAAGTTATCAGATTTCTATTTCCCGGTATTACTTCCTCTTTGTCTTTGCCATTAGTGGCGTGTTCCTCACTTGCGATGGCTATTTTCCCTCTACAGGTTGCCACACTTTTTAAAGACCACGCTGACCTCCTTGAGGAGTTCACACACTTTCTACCTGATACTTCCTCTGCAGCGTCTAATATGTATCCTCAATCTGGAAGGAACTCTTTGCTCCGTGATAGGAGCTCCACCATGCTGTCCATGCGGCAAATGCACATTGACAAGGTTCTCATGCATCCAACCTTGCCGATTTTCTCAATTCCTATCTTACCCTGGCTTATACCATGATGAATTGATTTTCAGAAGGAGAGGATATCTGCTTCGCATGCTGATCATGATCACAGTGTAGACCGACCTGATTTAGACCATGACAGAGCTTTGCTGAAAGCAGAAAAGGAGCAGAGAAGGCGTGGGGAAAGAGAAAAGGATAGAAGAGACGATAGAGATAGGAGAGAACGGGGGCATGATGAGAGAGAATTTGAACATGATAGCACTAGGGACATCAACCTGCAGCAGTTTTCCAACAAACGGAGAGCATTTCACTTGGCTGCTGATCAATTGCATCAAGATGGCGAAGTAGAAGAGAACTTCAGTACACTTCCCAGTTCATCCTCATATGATGATAAAAGCACTGTTAAAAGTGAGTTTTTACATGCTGTACCTAATCTACAAGCCACTGGTTTTGGAATTAGGAAGACGGATCTTGTCCATATCCAGTGTGAAAAGCCTGCTTTGTGGATATTTTTTCTTTTTCCAGAGAAATATTATGCTATAGATCAGCTTCTTCCTTATTGAATTCATACAAAAATTGATTGACTGCCGCTTACTGCTGATTCTTGTGTCATTGCAGATATCTATAGCAAAGAATTTGCTTTCTTCGATAAAGTAAAGGAAAAGTTACGAAATCCCGAGGATCACCAGGAATTTTTGAGGTGCCTTCATATTTTCAGTGAGGGGATAATTTCACGGCTAGAATTGCAAACACTGGTATGGCTGTGAACATACTTGTTACAAGTGATTTTATTTCGTCAATTTTTTAGACTCTTTGTAGCAAAAATTTGTTTATGCTTGTTACTTCAGCTGGTATATATGATTGACTTCAGCATGTGGCCGGCTAAAATATAACTTTCTCTTATAGAGTACAACTCCATGTCTTGACGTTAATATGCTCGTAACCACCACGCTATACCAAACTGAAGTTGCCACAGACCTCTGGATTTTGACTATAAAAACTTTTTGCGCTTGAACGGCACGTTTGGCTGGAATGCATCCTTATTGTAGATTCTGTAATTGTAGTTCCTTGATTGTACTGGAAGTCTCGGTATTAAAATTCTAATTAACTCAAGGCTTAGTTGCACAGACCCTCCCAGTAATGACGTTTGTTGCAAAAACCACCATCCTATAGATTTAAACTAATACACGCGTAGCTTTTGAACCCTCCTTCACTCATATTGAATGGTTTTTCTTCCACTTATCATGAAAAAAAAGGCCTTTAAAGAGGTTGAAAAGGTCAGGTGGGAACAATTTGAAGTTTCATTGAGACAGGAAATTTAAGGATCAGATGTTATGTAAAAATTAAGAGGACGTGGAGGTATTAGCAATGGACTCCTCAGGGCGGGGAATTATTTGTAGTTAGCCCTTAATCTAACTAAGCCTGAGTAGATGTAGAAAGTTGAAGAAGGCGTTCATTTGGTAGAGAATGCTCGTTTTAGGGGTGCTATTGGTGCCTTGGGGATGGATGATGCAGTGTAATCCTCAATACTCTAAGATAGGGGGATCTAGATCAAAGACCGTGAAATAATGTTCTCACTTAGCAATTGCAATAGTCTCTTTGCCCTTGTAAACCAACAAACTTTAGACGCGTAGTAAAATAACGTTTTTCTTTTTGTATAATTCTAGTTTTATCACCATTAGTGCCTCAAAGTTGTTTTGTTCCGGATGATGTTGTCTTCTGCCTGTCACCTTCCTGAGAATTTTTTTAACTACCGTGTATCTTGTTCAATTCATGATGATTTGTTGGAATTCCATTTCTCCAGGCGAGTGATCTACTTGGCAAATATCCGGAACTTATGGATGGGTTAAATGAATTTTTGGCACATTGTGACAAGAATGGTAAGATTTGAAGACATGAGCATTCAGCGATTTGTTCTTGAACATGTATATGTTAAATGGTTTCTCTTTGTTTGTTTGCAGAAGGGTTTCTTGCTGATTTCATGAGCAAGAGTACGTGAACAAATCCTTTCATTTGTTACTGTTTCTTTGCGTGGTCCTTCCATTTCAGTTGGAGAGATTTGTTCTATGAAAGCATGATTTCCGATTTCCGCAGTCGCAATTTCCGGGTCATGATGATTGCTGATGCTTATTTTCTGTGCATTTTAATTGATGAAGGACACCTGCCCAGATCGGTGAAGTCCGAGGAAAGAGATAGAGACCGAGATCGTGAGAAGGATGGAGGAGTTAAGGATAAGGATCGTGAAACACGTGAAAGGGATAGGCTTGATAGGTCCAGAGATGCTCACAAGACGTCCTTGTTTTCAAGCAAGGATAAGTATATGGCTAAACCAATTAACGAACTTGACCTCTCTAACTGTGAGCGCTGCACTCCCAGTTATCGCCTACTGCCTAAGAATGTATGTGAACTTACATCTTATAATCTTTATACCCAAGTGATGAGTTATTGATGTGGGAACTAAAACTTTTCATCACCTGCATCCTTCAGTATCCTATTCCCTCCGTGAGCGATAGAACAGAGCTTGGTGTTGAAGTGTTGAATGACTATTGGGTGTCTGTAACTTCTGGAAGTGAGGACTACTCATTCAAACACATGCGCAAAAACCAATATGAAGAAAGCCTGTTTCGTTGTGAAGATGACAGGTCAGAAGTTGCCGGCAACATGGTTTACAAACAATGTGCATTCTAGTCACTCTGATTGCATGATTTGCTTGAATTGATATGGGCAATTTTCGTTGCGTTTTTTTTATTTTGTCTGTGACAATCTTTTCAGGTTTGAATTGGACATGTTGTTGGAGTCTGTGAATGTAACTACTAAGCGTGTTGAAGAACTGCTAGAGAAGATTAATAATAACACGATCAAACAGGACAGCCCAGTTCGTATTGAGGAGCACTTTACAGGTCATAGCCGATTGATCTTTTATGTGTAAATAGTCTAGTTATGTCCTTTTTATGTCATATTCTGATGTGGTTCTCCTGTTTTGTTGTTCTTTCAGCTCTTAATTTGAGATGCGTTGAGCGCTTGTATGGTGACCATGGGCTTGATGTGATGGATGTACTAAGGAAGAATGCTCTTCTTGCTCTGCCTGTAATAATAACTCGTTTGAAGCAGAAGCAAGAAGAGTGGGCAAGATGTCGTTCGGATTTCAATAAAGTTTGGGCTGAAATTTATGCCAAGAACTATCACAAATCACTTGATCATCGCAGTTTCTACTTTAAGCAGCAGGATACCAAAAGTTTGAGCACAAAAGGTAATGGTATCGGAAATATAGTGATTTTGCTATAATGTCTACTTAGTACAATGCACAACCTCTTCGTGATTTGTAATTCCTGTTAATATACCAGAAGCTCATGGCCAGCTTGTTAAAAGCAAGTACATGACCCGTTGAACATTTCAAAGCTTAATATGTTCCTTTTTTAAATTGCTCTTCCTGGGCTTGGGCTAAATTATCCTTGTGTACCTCTCATTTTTCAGTAGCTTGTCCGCTTCTATAAGCTGTTTTATTTGCATAAATGATTTTATTAGTTACTTGTTGAAATTGAGGTAGTATGAGTGTCCTGAACATGCCTATTGAAATTTTTGGAGGACTAGTTTGTCCAATTTGCCTGATGACGTGAAACATTGAATAGTTTTTCAAATTCTGATGTCCACTTTTCCCCTGTTATGTTTTGCAGCCCTGTTGGCTGAGATAAAAGAAATTAATGAGAAAAAACGTAACGAAGATGATATACTTCTGGCCATTGCTGCTGGAAATCGACGAAGCGTTGCTCCAGATTTAGAATTTGAGTTCCCAGATCCTGACATTCATGAAGATTTGTACACGATTATCAAATTTTCCTGTGGAGAAGTTTGTACAACTGAGCAAGTGGATAAAGTTTTGAAGATTTGGACCACTTTTTTGGAACCAATGTTGGGTGTTCGTTCCCGGCCTCAGGGTGTCGAAGACACAGAAGATGGGGTAAAGGCTAAAAGACAAGCTGGCAGAAGTGGTACTGCCAATGGTGGCCACGATGACAGTGTTCTGGATGGTAGTGCCACTGTCCTGAACAGAAGACAGGTTAATCCTCTAAAAAATGGGGATGATGTAATTCCACCAGAACCATCAATTACTTGCAGGGCATTGGATAATGGAGATGGCAGGGATGCCGAAGTCCCTTCACTTGGTGTGGATCATGTTGCTTGTAGAACTTCTGAACAAGGAAAAATACATGATATTGCATCTCTAGCTGATGAAATGTCGGGTGTCAGTAGACCAGTCAACTCAAATGAAAGATTGGCGGGGGTGGAGCAAAGTAAGGGGAAATCTGGCATTGAGAATACACCAGGTTTGCACTTTGCTGATTGATCTTGGACTAGCTGCCTTAACTTATCATGAAACCATTTGGTTTCTCATATGATGGCTGAACTTCTGAAGAGTTTTTTTTACGCTGATTTTAAAGGGCTAAATGCTGCTCCTTCTAGACCGGGTACTGTTGCTGCAGAGACTGCTGTTGATATGCGATCAAGTAATGATAACTTACATTCATCGGAGGTATGATTAATACAATTTTTTCTTCAACACGGAAAGCAGTTTTTTTAAAGGATAGATTTTGGTTTACCACTTATATCTGTTCCTTTAATTGGACTTTTGATTTTTGAGTTGGGTACCAAGGAACTACAGTCTTGCTAAAATTGAGAGCGACAGGTGTGAGCATGGTTTGTGAGTCAGGGCAGATGGTTGTAAAGATTGCTTAATTTGTGTTGGGGTTGTAGATTACGTTTTTGTAGAGGCAAAATCTCAGCATTTGCATTTGATGTCTTGTGTTTGTTGATCTGTCTCTCTTTGCAATGGTTAGGGTGATGACTGTACGCGGGCCAATCTGTCTGCCAATGGTGTGGTGAAGGATACCAGCAGCATTCATAGATACCATGAAGAATCAGTTGGGCACTTGAAAGTTGAAAGAGAAGAGGGTGAATTATCTCCTAATGGGGATTTTGAGGAGGATAATTTTGCCGCTTATGGGGAAGCTACTTTAGAAGCTGTACATAAAGTGAAGGATGGTGCGACCAGTAGGCAATACCAAACCAGAAACGGAGAAGTTATTAGCTGTCCTGAGGTGGCGGCAGAAAATGATGAGGATGCAGATGATGAAGGCGAGGAAAGTGCACAGAGGTCATCAGAGGACAGTGATAATGCTTCTGAGAATGGGGAGGTCTCAGGCAGTGATGAATGCTCTCGTGAAGAGCATGAAGAAGATGGCGATCATGATGAACATGACAACAGGGCAGAGAGTGAAGGTGAGGCTGAAGGGGTGGCGGATGCTCATGATCCTGAAGGAGAAGGAATTATATTACCAGGTTCAGAACGTTTCCTGCAAACAGTGAAGCCTATGGTGAAGCATGTACCGATGGCTTTGCGTGAAAAAGAAGGGGATTCTCGGATTTTCTATGGAAATGATTCCTTTTATGTTCTTTTTAGGCTTCATCAAGTATGGCTCTTCAAATTCTTGTCTATATTCCTTTTTTTATCTATTGAAGTGTTTAATATTATTATGTTACTGTGTTAACATTTTGTTACACTATAGACATTGTACGAGCGAATACAATCAGCAAAAATCAATTCATCATCTGCTGAGAAGAAATGGAGGGCTTCAAGTGACACTTGTCCTACTGATTGCTATGCCAGGTAGCATGCGTGTTTTTCTTTTCTTTTTTCCTTTTTGGTGGGGGAACTGAATTGAGACTGGAAAATTGACAAAATTTGGTGTGTCAAAAGAGGTCATGACTGTATGACCCAAAAAAAAGGGGTCATAAGTGTGCATGTAAAATTGGAGCTCATTTTTATTTTTTTTCCTAGGTTTATGAGTGCTCTCTACAACTTGCTTGATGGTTCTTCGGATAATACAAAATTTGAGGATGACTGCCGAGCTATTATTGGAACTCAGTCCTACGTTCTGTTCACTTTAGACAAGTTGATATACAAGGTAGTTAAACAGGTGAGCTAGTATTCTCTCTTTTCCAAACCTTTAGACGTTCCTCCTTTTTCCAATGCATATTTTTCTCAATCTTGTGTTTTCCAGCTTCAAACCATTGCGACTGATGAGATGGACAACAAGCTGCTCCAACTATATTCGTATGAAAAATCCAGAAAACGTGGAAGATTTGTCGATATTATTTATCACGAAAATGCACGCTTTCTCCTTCACGACGAGAACATATACCGCGTTGAATGTGTAGGTCTAATGTCGTTGATACTGATTTTCTTCTGATTTCTGCATGAAGCTGAATTTTTAATAAATCTTATTTACTTCCAGTCAACGGCGCATTTGTCGATACAACTTATGGATAATGGACATGATAAACCTGAAGTGACTCCAGTGTCCATGGATCCTAATTTTGCGACGTATCTGCAAACTGACTTTCTCTCTATTGTTCCTGATAAAAAGGAGAAATTTGGGATTTTCTTGAAGAGGTAGAAAATTGTGAATTTTTAACGGACTTTGCCATCTGGCTGTGGCTAACCTTTGCACATGGTTGCAGAAACAAACGGAAATCTGTGCATGATGATGACAGTCATGCTCTGGAAGGAGTTAAAGTCATCAATGGTTTGGAGTGTAAGATTGCTTGCACTTCATCGAAGGTCTCTGATTCCTCAGTCTCTCCATTATTTTTAGATATAACTGTCAATTCTTATAGAAATCTACCGGTGGAGATCACTGCCGCATTGTGAGTTGGAATTCTGAATGTAGCAGGTGTCATATGTTTTGGATACGGAAGATTTTTTGTTCCGCACAAAAAGGAAAAGGAAAGCTTCCATTAGAAAGAACTCGTGTCAGGACCAGATGAAGTCCGAGAATGGTGATTCAATTAGAATACAGAGGTTTCATAGATTGCTCTGCGGCTCATAGTTGGACGTGATGTCACTGTCTCTCCAATTAGGTATGTCCTAATATCCAGATGAAAGTCCCATCCTATACTATTTTCTTCAGTTCAGCGATATTTGACAATATGGAAACTGTGAACGTCTCAAATGACAGAATGATGCTTTTGATTTCCCGTGGATTGTATCATTCATGGGGTTTTGTTGTATATTGTGGTCATTTTGTTTTCGGCTTGTCAAAGTTTGAAGACATTAGATCCGGATTCTTGATATCTTTTTTTCTGCAGAATCATTCCGCGAGCATTGAGTACACGGGAGCCATACAAACTTATTGATGGTGCCACGTTGGGAAATCCTTTCGTGGGAATTGTAAGATTTTCAGGTTTTTTATCTTTCACTCAGACGGGTCATTTTACTGTCTCGCCAACAGAATAAGGGATCGAGAGGAAAGGGCAAACCTTGTTCAGAATTTGTAGAGTAGCATAATCTCGTGGGGGGGTTTTGATCCACCATTGTGTAAATAATGTCATATTGTGATGTAAAATTGAGATACTCGGTTCTTTTCATTCATCAACTATGCTTGGTTAGACATCATTTTGTCACTAAGCTAATGAAGGATCTTGCAGTTATTTGACCGTTTCTTGCGCCTCTTATTGTTTGTGCAATCGGTTGCATTTGCGCCTGTGTTCTTTTTCCTGTGCAAAATTGAGGCAGAACTAACACGCGATAGAGTGGATCCACTTGGGACAATGTATAGCGTACAGTGATTTTAAACGGTGGATTGACATAACGTGCTGATTTAGATGAGCAGGGAAGAAAGCTTGATGCACGCTTTACTTGGTCCTACTCTATTTTGTCTTCAAAGTTGCGGGCTCATCTGAAAGAGCACTCGGCAAGTCAGAACCAGACAGGAAATACATGAACTGCAAAATCTTGATAGGAAATCTACGCATCAACTCTTTCGATGAAGATGCAAAATCTTAACGGGAAATACTAGCTCAGGTTGTTGTCAGTGGATAATCGCAGCATAAGCCTTTTTTTTTCTGTGATAAACAATTCGGAAGAACTGTTACAAATGTTGAGTGGTGAGCACCAATTTAACCTGCCAACTCACTTATGGGTGGACGATCCATTACATTGGATGCTGCAAGCGCGTTCCTCTGCAACTGCGGATCAACATCGGGCAGCTTAGGAATCTGGGCAAGTAGATCAATCGTTCGCCGTAAGAGACGAGCCAAATCTCCCTCGTCCATCGCACAATCCATCATTATCTCCCTCCATGTCAATCCAGATGCCCATGCTTCGACCATACCCGAGAATTGACTATCTAAACAGCAAGAAATCTGCACTCCATGTTTCTCTTGCAGATTCAAAAGGGAACTTCTTTGATCATCCAAGAGATCAATGACATCAGTCACTGTCGTGGATGGTTCAAATATATAGGCGTTGTTTTTCCAAGGTCGGACTTTGATCCCTTCTGAAACTAAACCAGCGCAGACAGCAGCAAGCTGGGCTGGTTTCAAACACAGTAAAATTTTACTTCTCAAAACCATCGCAAGCCAGAGCTCGTTTTCTCCCCTTATCGCAGCGGCAGTTTCTCCAAGAGGAAATATAATGTTTGTGTTGATATCAAGTGCTCTAATTTCATGTATAACGTGGCTTACCTGCAAAAAATCCTTCCATCCAGACGGTTCGATTTGCTCTATACGATTAATTAGGCGCTTCGATCTAGTCTTCAAGCGTTTTATCTTTTCCTCAGTGAACTTGGTCATGTCTACGATCTTCTTATATTCTCTAAAGCCTTCTGTACGCGCTATCTTTTTCTTCAACCGTGCAACCTTAGTCCTTTGTGCTTTGTAGCATTCTACAGCATCATGGAAATCCTGAGACATGAATAATGCCTCGTCTTTGTCAGAAAGACTATTCAAGACGGGCACATTTAAACTCCACGACCACGTTTCCAGTGACCCTTCTCTGTACCATAAACCCCCAAATTCACTGTCACTAAGCTTATCCCACTGCATATCATCCTTATCTAGAAGTGTCACCATAAGTTCCCGAGGCAAAGCATCTCCTTCAGTTAGGGCCACGTTAGGAAGACCAGTCCGATAGACTGTTCTAATCCACTGTTCCGTAAATAAGTACCATGAGTTATCTGAACCAAGGGCCGCGTGATAAGATGGTTCAAATCCTTCATGTCTTGCCAGATGACCATCACTCGACTCCACTCCAACTACATTTATCGCAAAAGAATCGTCACCAAGAATTCTGTTCTTGACTTTTGACCCATTCAAAGAGTCAACTTTTCCCAAGTAAACAGCCGGAATAGAGTGTAAAACTCCTTCAGAATCCTTATATTGCAAGCATATAAAGGGCAACTGTCCATTCTCCAACTCCTCAAGTAGAGGTTTCACAGCAGATATTCTCTTCAATTCCATTTTTTTGCGTAGTTCAGTCCGGAGGCATTTTTCAGCCCTTAATTCTTCCTGTAGATCAGCGATCTCCTTATAAGCTGCGTCTGACAAAAGACTTCTCGCTTTTCGGTCTATAGCATCGTCAGTAATTTCAGATGTTAACTTCTGAATCTCCTTGTCTATTTTTGAGAGCTCCTCCTTGGCAGCAAGCATAACATTGCTGCCCACATAGTTACCAAAACTTTGCTCCACTAACTTCCTAGCTTCTTCCAGTGTTCGTCCTGCTCGAGAAATTTTCACTTCACCTGACTCACTTGAGTGACTTGTAAGTTTTGCACCAGCCAAAAGGTTCAGCACCATTCCATATGAAGCAGTAAACTGTGACACCAGAGGCTCTACCCCAGCAAAAAGAAGCTTACAGCACTCTTCAGCACCCTCATAAGCAGTTTGGACAAGGACGACATTACCACTTTTGTCAATGCCTCTACGACCAGCACGACCGGCCATTTGAAGCAGTTCATTTGAGGTTAATTGAATACGTCCACTGCTACTTCTCTTGCAGAGAGCTGCAATTACTGCTGTCCTAGCAGGCATGTTGATTCCCGCAGCCAGTGTTTCTGTAGCAAAGACAACCTTGACAAGTCCTCGTCCAAAAAGTTCTTCAATAAATGATTTCCATAGAGGCAAACACCCTGCATGATGTGCAGCAACACCGTGCATAAGTCCTTTCACAGCTGAATCCCTAACAGCATCAGGATACTGAATACTGAACCGCTTCAAAGCCAGTTCAACTTCACTCATCTCGCAGCCATCCAGGAGGTTGCATCCTTCAAGGTACTGAACAGCTGCATCACAGCCTCTCCGGCTGAATATGAACCAAATGGCTGGGAGCATATCCCTTGCTTTGATTTGATGCAGAGTGTCAATCACCTGAGGAACCTGAAATATATACTTTTTTTTATTGGTATGATCGTGCTTTTTAACCCTATATGAATTGGATAAATATAAATTCTTTAATACTACTTGAGAAGAAGAGAGACAAGAGATAAAGACTATAGATGACTCTTTCTTTTCTGCGGCCACATAAGACTATTTCTTTTAACCCATTGATGAACTTAGTCCATACTTGTGAGCGGCGAATAGCATTCATGTCATTCTTTGAAAGAGGCGCCTCCATGGTGATACTATCAACATTGTTGATGTTAATATCACCCCCCCGTCTTCTTGATTTCCTTCTTTTGATACTATCCTCCTTGTATGAGTTACGTTCCATGGCATAAAGTTGCAGATAATTAAGTGATAGTTTCCTGTTCCAAGAATCACGAAAACTATGATGAATAATTTTCCTTTTGGGAGGGTTAGGGGGAGAGTACAGAACATAAGCTACGCAGAGAAGAAAAGCACATCACCAACACTGCAAAAAATTTTCATTACAAAGGATTATAATCAGCTGTGTGCACACAAAACCATGAAAGAAAACTGCCATGGCTGCAGCCACTAACTCATTTTGAACAACCATCTGGGAGAAAAAATGGTTGTTATTTCATTTCACTTCTCTAAATCTACCATACTTGGAAAATTTGTAAGAACTACAAAAAGAGCATCATCTAATGAATACCACAGCCTAAGAGTGAGTAGACCGGAATAGAATGTTCATGTAGAGCATCTAAGCGAAGGAGTAAAATTTCTATATGCGTTCAAGGTTAATATAAAGCCCTGCAATTAACTATAACATACCGGTTCATCTGCCTTCCTTTTTCATCAAGAAGGGGTAACACGGAAGTTTTTGTGGAGAAATGCCAAGTCAGAGGGACTGGACGTCTTGATGATGTAACCAACTCTGTTCTACCATGGATCTGACAACAATAATGCAAGCATGTAAATGATTCTACCCCAGGAAATTTTTAAGCGAATGTACATGTGTGTGAATCAATCTGTTTGGATTGGGCACAACCCCAAGGGGTGCAGATGAATAGAGTAAGACCATCAATCTCTACCAATCAGCTCTAGACCTCTCGGCTCCAGGAAAATCACGAGATCTCTTTTTTCTTTTTTCTTTTTTCTTTTTTCTTTTTTACTTGGTAAGCAAGTGTTGTATTCCAAATAGTTACTCATTAACAGGTGGAATAAGCCTGTTACAATTACAGTAACTCTTACAATCTGCTCATCATCAACCTATGTCTTACTTTTTTATATGTACATATGATGTGTAAGCAAACAAAACTATAGCGGCCTCTAATTCCCGCACATCTCAACATGCTGCAAACTGAGACCTATCTCCTTTAACATCAGTCAATCTATACAATACATCGGTATGAATCTTTGCAAAAATAGATTTACCGTCAAAATTGAAGCTAGCCACATGAATCAATAAATTCCTAGCATCCCAAATATAACAAACTGCAGCATACCAAGCTATCTGAAATATCAAAAGAGAGATGGGCTTCCGTTTCATATATTGAGAAGCCTGTTGTAACTCCAAACTCCAGCTCCGGATGGTCCTTCCCACTCTAAATTTACTAAAGACATAATTCTAAATGTCCTTGCCAACTGGTCCATGAACAAATTCACGCGATATTTATCCTCAAGTTTTACTCAGTTAATTATCTCCTACCTCCACGAAGAGTCAGTTTAACAGACTGCGATTTTAACAATATCATTTTTGACTTACCATCATTTGACGTAGCACAAGCAACTTACTTGAACTAGTGAATTTCTTTACAAGTATACCCTGAGGGAGGGTGACATTTTCAAGTTTCCAATATCTCAAAAATTGACAGGGAACATCGCTAACGTCAGCCCAAATAAGAAAGGCTGGCGAGATAAAGGGGTGAGTCATGGCAAAGTACCATGTTGCTGAGAAAGAAAATGGTGTCAGGAGCTTCGGTTAGAAATTAAATGTAACAAATACTCCTCATATTAGTGGCATTATTGTCTTCCTAGTATGCATTCAAACAGATTTCTGGATCTGGAACTCTCCCTCAAAAATAAATGACTCCCTTTTCAAGGTTGTGGAAAGAAGAAAATAATTGATGCAAATGTAATCTGTATTCCACGTGAAGCTGCAACCTTTAATCTATCTTTCACATAGATATCATTAGTCAGCAGACTAACTTTGCCAGAAAACATAGGAGAAGTTTTAGAGCATGGTTTGACTATAATCATTCACTAGATTTCACAGCAAATGACGACTATTTGAAACTAGCCCAGTCAAATAAACAG